GGCCAGCAGCAGGCAGGCCAGCCCCAGGCCGGCGGCCAGGCAGGGCAGCGGGAGGTCCTGCAGCAGCAGCCAGGCAAGCGCCGGCAGCCGGGCGCGGTGCCCGTAGGCGTCGTAGAAGAGCGGGAAGGCCCGTGTGGTCCCGGCCGAGAGCAGGAGCAGGTCGAGCAGCGCCAGGCAGGGTGCGCCTGGCGGGCAGCGCCAGGGCAAGAGGGCGAGAGCCAGCAGCGCCAGCAAGGCCACCAGGCCGAAGAGCGCACCCACCCCGTATACGTGGGCCTCCCAGGCCAGCCCCCAACGAGCTCTGGCTTCGGCCCAGTTGGCCTCCAGGGTTAGCAAGAAGAGAGGCAGCGGCGCAGCAGGTGGCTGCCCCTCCGGACCAGGCAATTCTCTGATGCCGCAGGACTCTGGCTCACAGTCTGGCTGCACCAACGGGTTCCCTGGGCTGGCGGGAGAGGGGTCGTCTGGGCCAGAGGTGGGGACGATGGGGTCTGTGGACAAATAACTGGCTGAGGCAGTTGTACAGCACTCCGTCTCCCCACCCCCATCGGGTAGCCTGTCTGCCAATCAGCATCCTGGAGCCACTTTGTTAATATGATGCACCTGACCTCTTGGCCGCTCACCTTTCCCTCCCCCATCCAGCCCCCTCATGCTGTAGTTTTAGCTGCACCCCACCCCCTCTTCAGCTCCCTGTATTATTCATTTCCCTTCATCACTCTGTGAGTCTGCTGAGAAGGGTTTTTCTGAAGAAGTCAAAGAACTCTAGAACTGGAAGGAACTGCAGAAGCCCCCTCTACTACAATCCCCCCACCAGAAGGGAAGCTTCATGAAAACAAGGATTTGTGTTTGTTTTGCTCACTTCTGAATCTCTGTGACTCAAATGGTGCCTTCAGCAGATATTAGTTGAATAAATGAATCCTCTTATTTGCCAGATGAAGACACTGAGGTTCCAAGAGGCAAAGTGACTTGTCCAGGGTCACAGACTGGCAGAGCCACAACTAGAATCCAGATCTGAGCACCAGTCTGAACCCCCTTCCACAATTCCAAAACCTCTTCATGCTAGTTCACTTACCTCTTGTTCTGCACCCCTAACTTCAAACGCTGGTGATAGAAGCTTCCTTTGCCCTTTTCATCTGCTCCCTCCTTCTCCCTGTCTTTTCACACACACACACACACACACACACACACACACACAGCACGGGGGAGGTAAGCCACACCTCTCTCCCTCTCTCTGGCACTTAGAGGAGAACACAACCTCTCCTTATTCACTGGCCTTCCTGCCTGCTACACTCTCAACCCCTTGGCCTCCACATGGCTGTGGACCCCATCCTGACTCAACCACAAAGTCTTTGGTCAAGGGCTGTTTATATAGAGACCCCTTTGGTTCTTAGTCCATTTTACAGAAGGTGGCATTGAGATGGACTCCCCTGGGCTGAATACAACCTCCCCAAGAGGCTGCCCTTGAACTCATGGAAGGAGCAATTGGGGAGATCACAGTGGGATAAAATGCTATTCGAGTGAGCCCCTCAGATGCTCCGGGGTTTGCTAACTCAAGCCCCCAGCCCCACTCTGTGCTCCAACGTCTTCCCTTGGGGGAAATGGGAGTCAACTAAGACAGGGTGAGGAGTAAGACCCTTGATTCCACTCTCTTGGAGCAAGAGGGGCGTGAGAGAGAGTTAGACCCAAGAGTTCTCCCCATGGCCAGGCAGCCAGGGAAGATGCTGGAGGCTGAACCTCTCCCTACCCCACCTAGCATGCTCAGCAGACCTGCAGCTGCAGGCAAGAAAGGAGGGAGAAAGAGAGGTGAAGAAGGATGGGGACAGCCTCGGGGGGTATGGGAAGGTGGACCAGAGGCAGATGTGGACTGAGGGAGGGAGGGTCTCCTGACAACTAGACTCCTGCTCTGTTGGCCATGCCCCAGCATGCCTCAGCCGAACACAAGACTCCAGGAGCAACCCCACCCAAGGCAGTGCCAGCTTATGCTGGGGACATGCCCAACAGAGCAGTCCTGAGAACAAGGAACAGGAGTGAGGGGCCAGAAAGCAGCCCTGGAGTGAGGAGAGGAGAGGATGTAACCAGACACATGGGGATGGCAGTGAGGGTGGGGTCAAAAAATCAAATACACACAGCTCACTGCCAGCTACACAAAAATGGCAGCATGTGGGATGGTTCCAGTTCCATCCTAGTCTTCAAATCTGAAATGGGTAGGAGACCTACTGCATAGGGCTGATAGAAAGATAAATGAGACGATGCGTGCAAAGCTCTTCGGAGTGCCAGGTGCACGGTAAGTATTCAATATATGACTGTTATCGGCATCATTATTATTGTCTAGGAGCCCTGGTGGCACGGTGATTAAAAGCTCAGCTGCTCACCAAAAGGTCGGCAGTTTGAATCCACCAGCGGCTCCTTGAAAACCCTATGGGGCAATTCTGCTCTGTCCTGTAGGGTTGCCATGAGCTGGAATCGATTCAGTGGCAAAGGGTCTTGTACAGTTTTACTATTGGCTAGTGTTCATCCCTGATCAATTATCAGTCTGTGTTTGTGTGAGTGTGACCACTTCTGGCCTCCAACTAGTTCTTGATTTAACTAACTAAAAACTGCTGTCTGTGGTAACACCCCTTTATTGTTGTTAGGTGCAGTCAGGTCTGCCCCTGACTCACGGTGACCTCATGCACAACGGGACCAAACGCTGCCAGCCCCTGCACCATCCCCATGACGGGTCGCAGACCAGCGTAGTTCTCCGAGGTCTGCCCAACTCGCCCTCTTCCAACTCCACTGTTCACCAGTGGGCCACAGGGAACCCCATCTTTCATCTCTGTCCCGAAGTACTGTGGCAACTAGAGCAAATTTCAGCATTCATAAGAAGCCAGGAAATGAATCAAAACCCGGAAGCAGGCAAAACATGTTGTAGAGTAGAACTGCACTCCATAGGGTTTTCAAGGCTGTGACCTTTTGGAAACAGATCACCAGGCCTTTCTTCCGAGGCACCTCTGGGTGGGTTCAAACCACCAGCCTTTCAGTTAGTAGTCAAGTGCTTAACTATTTGCACCCCCCAGGGACTCCAGACAAAACACAGGCGTGGCCCAGGCCTCCGAGAAGGGTGTTCTGGATGAGGAGCACTACTTCCAGGGCTCAGAGCATGGGCCCAAGTGCCCAGGACTGGGCCAGGTGTGGGTGAGAACAGGGCGAAAAAAATCCAGCTTCTGTCTCTGATGGGTCCACTTGATCTGTTTCCTGTCTCCCCATTTGAGACATTCCCAGAAGGAGACTACAGTCTCCCCCGGAAGATAGTGATCTCTGGTCCTCCTTTCCCAGGACCCCTCCCCTGAGCAGGCCTCCCCTCCAAGGTGGCCCCACTCTGGCTCTGCAGCCCCTCTTGACCTCAGGGACAAGGGCAGAGATGGGATGTCAATGTGAGTAACCTAATCGGTGAGGCAGGAGCTGGCTGGGGAGGGGCAGGGGCGGGGACGGGCTCACTTCATGAAAAAGTCAGGCCTGATGATCCACCAGTTGCCCAGATCAAAGGACCAGGGAACCCCAGCTCCACTTTGGATGCTGGAAGTGGCAGCCCGAGTCATGGCTTGACTCCATCCGTTCCCCACACCCACTTCCCTGTCAACGAGATTGATACTGTAAAGCAGGGGGGGACATAAAAAATATTTAACAGCAGGAATGGCATAGGCATCAGCTAATCAGAACACACACGTCAGCCTGGGTGGTGGTTGGGGAGTGGAGGGGAGCTTCAGGGTGCCAAGGGCAGTGGGTACTCATCAACTGGTCTGCAAGTCTCTCAATATGTTACCAAACTGGACGACTGTCCTGGCTGAATCCAAGCTCTGTTCATGGGCACCTAGAGAAGGAGACCTAATGCAAATGAAGCCCCAGGGGCAAAAGGTTAACCTCACCTCTGATGGAAAGATCCTAGAGGAGACGCGGAGAAACTTCCTTTGTCCCCTAATTGTGCGGCATGCCTCCGCCTCCCCACATGCACACTGCTGACGAGAAAGGCCCTCCTGGCTTTATCCAAGAGGAGCAGCCAGGAAGAGGCTGGGTTCCTGCAGCCTCCAGCAAGGAGGGGACGGAGAGCGGGGCTGCCAGCCTGTCAAGCTGGACCGTCTGTGACACTGTCCAGACTCATTAAACCCACCTGGCCAGCGCTGTCACCCAGGCTGACAGACTGCCGCCAGCATCCTTCCCCTGAGGCACAAAGTCTGCCCCCCACCCACAGCAGAACCTGCCACTGCCACTCACAGGGATAGCAGGCTCCTCGGCAACACACAGAGGGACTGCAAGGACCACGCTGGAGCCAGTGAGATTGTTGGGTGTTGTGTTAAATCTGGAGATGGAAAAAGTTGGGGTGCCACTGGTTTCCTCTGCTGAGCTGGTTCCCAGTGTAGGGTGCCTGAGAGGTTTCCCAGCCACAGTCAAGCTTTGACAGAAGCAAAGCGGGGCCTGGAGTCCCTCGGCATGGCTCCCTCGGCCTCACCTGTCAGAAGCTCTGCCATAGCAGCTGTACCCTCCCCACTGCAGGCTGTATTCTGGTGTGGACAAGATGTTCCCCGCATCCTGGGGCCCAGGACTGGGGTGTCTGAGAGGTGGGGTCTGGAAGTGTATTTGGATCCAGTGGGAGAGAAAACAAGGTTAATAGCTTCCATTTAGTGAGCTTCTAATTTGTGTCCAGGATCACGCCGGGAGTTTTCTTACATTATCTGGAAGCTTAATCATAACTCTGCAAAACTGCTACTGTTATTAAACCCTATCATATAGAAGGAGTCCCTGGGTGATACAAATGGCTTGGCTGCTAGCAGAAAGTTTGGCAGTTCAAGTCCACTCAGAGGCACCTCAGAAGAAAGGCCTGGCGATCTACTTCCAAAAAATCAGCTATTGAAAACCCTGTGGAGCACAGTTCTACTCTGACACACGCGGGGTGCCATGGGTTGGCGTAAACTTGATAGCAATTGGGTTATTGTATAGATGAGAAGACTTGGGCTCAGAGAGGTTAAATAACCTACCCAAGGCCACTGAGCTAGTAAGTAAGATTCAACGTGAGGCCTGCAAGATTCCAGAGCCCATGGCATCCTCTGCACTGCTGCTTGTCTATGTGCATGTTCCGGAAGGCTCCCTTGAACGAGGGTGGCACCTGTCTGCTCATGGCCTCCTCTTCAATGTCTTCCCAGTGAGGGGCCCAGCTCTGCCCATAGCTGATAGCATGTCATGTCAGATCAGACTCAAAGGAGAGAGCTTCCAGGTTGGGGTGGGGGTAAGAGAGGCAGGCCAGGACAACTGGCGTGAGGGTGATCTTAGTGCTGTGGATGTATGTCCCTGATCCATTTTCTGCATCCTGCTCTGCCTGTGACTGCAAAACACCCAGAGGACTGTGACTTAACTCTCTGGGGGACTTTCCCAGCGACACTTGTTCTCAGACCACGAATATATATCTCCATGGTGAGGAGGAAGATAATGGTGATTATGATTATGATAGCAATGAAATAAAAGGGTCCCAGAACACCAATCATTGACTAGTATGTAGTACATGGTGCTCAGTAAATAACTGTTGAGTTCAAATGAAATAAACACTTACCTAGGGACTCTGTTGCAATTGCGGCAGAGCTCAAGGAAGCAGCTGGGTCCAGCGGGCTTGGGCCTGACAGCTTCCTCTCCAGGGGGTGTCGGGAAGGTGACAGAGAGGTGCCAAAGAACCCTACAAAGGGAGCGCATGGAGCTTGAATGCCATCCTCCCAGCCGTGCTGGGCCTCTGGGGCTTTAGTGAACATCCTGTCCTTTGCCAGAGCTCACCCTAAGGAAGCCACTGTCCCTGGAATAGTAGCCACACGCACATCATGAGCTAAGGCAGCAAGAACCAAACCAGACTGAGCATGGCAGAGAGGACCTTTCCGCACGGGAGCAGCGGCCCGTGTGCCAGAGCTCAGGAGAACAATGCAGGCCTCCACCGAGTCAAGGCCTCTAGCACAGGACCTGGCAGGCAGTTGTTGGCTGCTGTCAAGTTGTTGGCTGCTATTGGGTTTTGGGACCCCCTGTACAACAGGATCAGATCATCATGATCCATGGGGTTTTCACTGGCAGATCTTCAGAAATAAATCACCAGGCCTTTCTTCCTAGTCTATCTTAGTCTGGAAGCTCCGCTGAAATCTGTTCAGCATCACAGCAACATGCAAGCCTCCACTGATAGATGGGTGGTGGCGGTGCATGAGGTGCACTGGCCGGGTGTCCAGGTCTCCCACTGCCCCCCGGCACGCAGAGGTGCTCCATAAACGTCTGTTGAAATGAACACTCACCTGGAGATTCTGAAACTCCGGAGGCAGAGCTTAGGGGTGTAGCTGTGCCCTGGGGGCTCGGGCCTGAGAAGTTTTGGAGTGGGGAGAGGGTAGTGCCAAAGAACCCTGCAAAAGGAGCCCGGCTGAAGCTGCCGCCTGCTGCCAGGGCCGCCCAGCAGGAACTTCCCTCGGACGGGGACAGTACTCACCAAAGGGTCCCAGGCGCCCAGCAATCTCCGCCAGGCTGGCCCGCAGGCTGGGCAGCAGGGGCAGCGTCCGGTGCCCGAGCGTAGGGGCTGCACCTGCTCTCAGTGCCACATCCAGCTTCAGCTCCAGCTCGCTCTGGTGGGGTCTGGGGGCACTGAATGGAGGCGCTGTCGCTGTGAGGGCAGTGCCCCAGGTCACAGTGCCCATCCAGGGCTGATAGGGAGCTGTGGGCCGGGCCGGGGGCCCAGAGAAGGGGGCCGTGGACGCCAGCGGCAGGGAAGAGGCCCAGGGCACAGAGCTGCCTTCAGCTGAGCCCCACTCTGGGGGAGAGTTTCCGGGGGAGCCCGCCAGAAGTTCCCAAAAGGGGTCCGTCCTCAGCCCACTGTCCACCTCTTCCTCCAGCTCCCGGCCCAGCCCGGGGGACACCTGCTGGGTCTCCGTGACAGGGCTCCCCCAGGCAGCAGCAGGTCCCCGAAGGTGTAATTTGAAGTTAAGTCCCAGGTTGAGCGACAGCACTGAGACCTCACTCTGAGGTGGGGGGCCCAGGGTGGTGAGAGGGACACCTGGGATGGGGGAGGTAAGCTGGGGGCCCACGGGGACGGCCAGCAGGGCCCAGCAGAAGATTCCCAGCCCCAGACAGCCACGGCCTGCCATGGCCCCACACCTCCAGGGGGAGCCAGTTCCAGCCTCAGTGGGCAGGGGTCTCAGGTCTTCAGCACCTTTGAGCACGAGGGTCCTGGAGAGAGGAGAGGCCCCATGAGCCCTGGCTGCTACCCTCATCCCTTTCCAGGGTCGAATGCCTCAGAGAGGGGCTTCTGATTCCAGAGACCTGGGGGTGGTGGTGGCAGGGACAGGGAAGGGAAGGAGTGGACAGGATGCAAAGTTCTGCCCAAGGAGAGGGTGACACGCTAACTCTACATTCAGGCTCCTGCACAGATCCCTCTCTTGCAGCTCCCCACTCAGGCTCCCTCTTCTTAAACCCCTGCCCCGCATCTGCTTAGCCTGGGTGCTGGGTCTGACTCCATCCAGCTCCCCTCGTTACTCAACTGGTGGCAGACAGGATGCACTTGGACTCCCTCCCCTCTTCCTCCCATCCTTCCTTCGCCCTCAAATCTTTATTGAGGCAGACTGTGTGCCCTGCACCCGGTGTGAACTACAACTGTGAACAAGCAAACCCTCACTGATGGGGCTCACCCTAGTCCTGCACCCACCCTCCAGCCCCAGTCTGAGACCTGGCCCTGGGGCTCGCTCAGACCACTGGACCACGGGCCCTGCGAGGGGCAGAGGACAGGGCTGAGGGACTGCAGAGCTGGGAAGGCAGCCCAGGGTCTGACCAGAGAAGCCAGGAGCCCCAGGCACGCAGGGCTCTGTCCCCTCAGCCCCTCCCTTCCCCAGACCTTAGAAGTATTTGGGGAGGGGCAGCTTGGGTATCTCAGGTTCCCTGAGGAAGAAGTCCAGGCTGGCAAGCCGGCAGGGGCTGCTGCTGTACAGTCCTAACAACCTCTAGCACCCCCCATGCACACACATCTGGTGGGGGGAGGGGAGGGTGAGCCAGTGACACACGTGCACCCGGCACCCTTACATCACACACACACGGCCACACCTAGCATCCGTGACACACTCATCCACTCACCCTTCACACACCCCTGCATGCACACACGTGCAAATATACACACACACATTGTCCTCCCTCCTACATGGGTTGAGACCCAAGCTCATGAGGTCCCACCCAGCCTCCTCTCTCTCTCCGTGTCTGTAGCTCTGTCTCTGTCTATCTCTCTCTCTCTGTCTCTCACACACACACACACACACACACACACACACACACACACGCCTCACAGCAGACACATACAGCATGTGCAGTCACAGAGAGGCACACACACCCCCTACACAAACTCACACACTCCGTATAGACACACATCACACGCTGTCATCCCCACATGCATGCCCCCACAAGCTGGCAGACACACACACACACTTACACACACGCCCCCAGCACGGCCCCGCCGACCTGCTCCGCTCGCGCCCTCCCGCAGGCTCCTCGGCCGAGTCCTCCTCCGAGGAGCGGCCGCGGCGCCCTGGCGCCCGGCTGGGCAGCTCTCCGCCGGGTCTCGCTGTCCTCTCCCGAGCCCCAACTGCAGATCACAGTCCCCGACGCCCCTCGGCTCGCCCGGCTGCCCGGCCGGCTCGGGTCCGCAGAGCTCTCCCGCGCCGCGCTCCTCCCCGCGGCGCCGCCTCCTGGCTCCGAGCC